CAAACAAGACACCCCATTTCGCAAGCTAAAGAGTTTGACTAATCTCAAGTCTCACAGCTACATAATCCGTTGCTAACGTCAAAAAGGCAAACATGTGCTCACTCAGAAACCATGTCCATGCCGCCCACACATCACTTGCCGTTGCTTTCAAATGGGTGTGGCTCAAAATTAAGCAGGAGGGGTTACGAAGGTTTTGGTCCATGTTTCCACTTACCAGGGTTCCATGTTGGTACCGTTTTTTGTTCTTCTTCTCCACAACCAAATCACCAAAACAAGATACACATGACAGGATCCAGGCGGTCATGGGTGCCATGTGTACAGCTCCGTGGCACTGCTTGTTTGATCTTGTTTGCAATCAGGATTCGGAGTTATCCATTTCGAAAGGCTACCCGAGGTCAGAAACTGATACCTTTCGCCATGTTGCACTCGCAAACTACCAGCAATTGCCGACATCCAAACATTCAGAAAAAATGCTCAGCCGGAACATGCGCTAGTGGCCATGTTCACTCCGCAAGGAATTCATGGGAGGGATTCGGTCATCGTAAACTCCCCTTTCCTGAGGATGATCGGATCTGTCCAGGAAGGCACCAAACAAAATCAAGCAAATGCATCCGAAAAGACACGCCGAAAAGAGCGAGCTGGCCAATGCCTTTCTTCCCTGGTCATAGTGATAAGTAGGATCTTTACAGAGACTATGACCTTATTAGTTGTGACCATGCGACCCCAGGTAGCCGGCCAAAGCATTCCCACGAGCAGGGGCACCATGAATCAACCATGGTTTGGAAATTACCAATCCTTCCCCATTACGCCCCATAGCGGCCACTACGCCCCTTTCATCACAGTGGCTCTGGGCATGACCTCCATCTTTGCCTTCTGGTAGCCGTGCGCATCTGACAGCGGCTCAGCCAAACACAGACTTCTTGGCCCCCCCCACCCTGATGTCCAATCGTTCCAGAATCAGAGCATGGAACAGAAAAAACGGCCTGGCGGAGCCTTCGTGTCTAACTTCTAAGTAGATGCATCAGGCAGAATACCATGCTCCCCCTCAATACTATGCTAGAGTGTACACCAGGGAAACACACAACTACCCCAAAATCCTTCATGCGGCTAGGTGAAAGGGCATCATACTACTTTCGTGCAGCTGTCACACACACACACGCCGGATTTCATTCCGCTTAGTTGTGCAAGACGCTGGCTTGTCAAGTAACCCTTTGCACTTTGACCAGCTGACATAATCCCGTAATGGCCATCATCCAGGTTGATGATCTTTGAGCTGGATGGTAGCGCTTGAACGGCTGCTAGATCTTAGATACCACGAGCTTTCTGCCAGGGAGTTAGCCGCACAGTTGTCCAAAAAGCCCTGGTCAGCAGAAAATTTGGGGTATTTGGGGCTTCACACCTCCAATGCAGCTTTGCCATCTTGAGGTCTTGATGCTTTTCTTGCTGGTGCGATAGGTAGGGAATGAGGGAATGAACCTTGTTGGATGGTTTAGAAGGGTCATTCCCTCCTTCCCTGCTGAGCGCCAGCAAGTTTATACTCAATTGAAATAATTGGCCAAAAAGGCCCAGTGCCCCCGTGCCCCCGTGCCCACTCTCTTTGCCAGCCTTCATCTTGCAACACGCCGTAAAGGCCCACTGGGCTCCCCCTGCGCATGGCAGGGAATAGTTGCCGTCCAAATGGCTAGCGTTCTCACTGGCTTTCGGCTTCTGCAAAACGTTGAGCATCTTGGTGCTCAACATGGAGTGTTCCAGGAGTTGGCGATTGCAGGTTCTAGCACATGATTATACTTTTGCTCCAGGTTTTGCCGCGGAACATCGATTCATCTGACAAACATGGCCACAAAATGAGAGTCGCTCTGGTCTATCAGAGCAGGCACGTATGGGAGATATGGGCGCCAAAATACGCATTCAAGCCGTACATCGCGCGAACTTGCCACGTTGTTTGACCTTGCAACATGAAAGCCACAACAAATCAAGGATATCTGTGTGGGTCCCCCCACTTTTGCGATGGCCGTCGTTGTTTGACTGCAAACGCGCCATAATGATTATATAAATGCATTTAACGGAGCTGACGAGGCAATGCTTGTGCTTCCCAAAATGCTACCAGGCGAGCACGCAAACAATGATACTCGGAGAATGGGCCGTTCACAACAAGGGTCGCATGAATCCTGCGGTAGTAGCCGGATTGATTTCATGCAAAGGGGACCCAAGCAAAGTTGCTTGGATTCTGAATCCTCCGCCCAATCGGATGGTGAAACCAAGCGAAAATAACTTGAACAGCAAATGGACAGCAACTTGAAAAAGAGCTTGCAAGCAAGGGAGCTGAGCATAATGAATCAGTAGGCAAACAATTTGCACATTGACATGCTGATCTCACAAATATTGATGCCATTGCGATCCCTTAGCTACCTACGGGGGAGCCCTTGCCATCATCTCAGCAAAAGAATCAAAAGCTTCAGTGTTGGAACAGGGTCCCCTGACCGACACATTCTTTAACGCCACAACTGAACCCGACGAACTCGTCCGAAGTCGAACCTTACCCTTCATTCGTTCCGTTTCGCCGAAGGGAGAAACGGACACCACGAGCGAAGCCCCGTCCAGCGCTTCTGCTCCAACTCCAGGGAACCGTTGTCCATCTTCCGGATCACAAAGTCGCCCTGCGAGTGGGGCGAGTGGCGCCAAAGAAAAAATGGGACAAGCCCATGCCTTACCCAAAGGCAGTGCTGAAACGCATTGGAACGGGGGAAAACACGTGCCTTACCCAAAGGCGGTGCTGAAACCCATTGGAACGGGGAGAACAACAAGAATAAATAAAAAACAAGAAACCTTGAAACCTCTTGACTCCAACCTTAAGAGCTTCGAACCGGAGCTCTGATACGGCCTGTTTAGAGGGTCGGAACCAACTGGACAACCGAAAGTCGAGGAGTCGAGGGGTGTGGCAACAAGTCATGTTCCAACGGCTACAGTCCTAGGTCCTAGAGATGAAGAGGTAGGGCCAGAACGGAGGCCTTGAACTGTGACAATGTTAACTAACATCAACAAAAAGGACTCCATGATTAGACTTCGGCCCAGTTATAGAATATATATTTTATTGGTTGCTTCACTTTGACGGGCAAAATGTAAAATGTATCCTAAGTCTACCCCAGATTCAATTGACAGTCCCATCTGGATGCGACTCTTCCAACCACCAGTGAACCGAGGGAGAAGTAAATGTTCCCAAGTCTGCAGGACTGTTTCCAAAACCAGGGGAGGGAAGATCGAACTCCTTTCGGTGTTGAGGGTCCACTCTGATTGCCAACACCCAACTGGACGCCATGTCATCGCTTGTCTCGCGCTGACCGAACGGTCGAGAGTGGTGCTAGCCTCCGGGTAGGACCAATCCCCAACCATGCCAGTGTCGTTATCTGCAGGCTCTCGCTGCAAAACCTGGCCAAATTGCAGATGGCAGCGACAAGAAGCCAACCAAAGCAAAGCATGCCCGGAGGGCACACCCGCCCACCCGCTCACCAAGTCTGGCAAAGTGTCTGAGGGAGCCGTCTGCACAAATGCTCGTGCGTGCACAAGCAAGCAAGCGAGCCAGCGAGCTAGCTCCGTCAAACGAGCAAGCGAGCCAGCCCGCCAGCCAGCCAGCCAGCCAGTCAGCCAGCAAGCAAGCAACAGCAACAGCATACCATACGCATTGCACAACCCATTGCCGGCACAGCCATGCAAGCAGTCAATTGATTATCTCGTATTCTCAAGTGAAGCATGTAATCAACGTTGTCAACATCAGCATGTCCGCCTTCCGCAATATGCAAACATCAACACATCCCTAAGGTTCAGCCCCGATTAACATGGCAAAGACCCAATTTGGATGATGACAATCCTTAGGCAAACAATGGTAGTAAAATTGAACCCCCCATTGTTTTAATGGTTGTTTGAACGGGGCATGAGTCACTCTCAAAACCCATGAGCACATTCGGAGAGTACTTTGAAGACCTTCGGAGACCGAGTCCCGCACCACGATGGGGTTGGAAGTTCGAAAGTGGAAGATGGGGTGCCCTTCCTCCGTCTCCGTCTCCTGACATTTCGCCGGGATCCACGGAGCTATCAAAGGAGACCGGGAAGCTCTCAATGACTCTGGACTCACATGGAATCCGAGCTTCACATGGAAGCCGGCCCATGGCACGAGATAGATGACCATCTAGGTCCTTCTTGCTTGCATTGCACTCTCAAAGCTGGCAAGGGCCCTTCAAAGGATCAGCTTGAGGAGAAGCTGACGAAAAGCGCCGAACAAACCACAGACAGACCAGCGGCCACTGGGAACAAGTATGCGCAATGATACACCGCAGGGTCAAGCATTGGAAAACCTTGAAAGGTGCCCCCTCAAACTACCCATTAAAAAGCGACTTCACCACAAAATCCGTGGGTGGCAATAACCCGGTATTTTGAGGGTCCAGGCTCACCCTGGGGCGAGATGGCGAGGGCCTGCTAACCCTCCCCGATCCATCTCCTCGTTCTCAGAGAGGTACTGGCCCGTCTCCTCGCACTTGGGGCTGCTGCTGAAGCGAAGATCCTGCCGACACGGACAACCAACGGGTTCCATGGGAGTTCAACATTGGAGGTTCACATGGGTGTTGAAGTAAAATAAAAACACGGGGAGCCCTCAAGGAAAGTGGTTTCCCTTTGGTTTCAATTGAAAACCATCCGAAAAGGGGCCCCCTATTCTGAGAAAACCCCAAAGGATGACCCGTGACAACCGACAAGCTCAAACACAATTTGGCTCTGAGCACATCTCAAGCAAGTGGGACGAAGTTGAATGAATCACACCTTCACACGACCCAACCACTATCTTCCCCAAGTTGTTGGTTACCAGCTCCATGCGACGATCAAATGGTACTTGGAAGCCTTTGGACATGCGTGAAATCACATCCGCAGTACACGGACAAACATCGATATTCTCTGACACAGAGACAAGGCTACCTTTGGGTAAGCCTCCCTGGATAGCAATACCCTCCGCAAGATTCTGAGACACTTTGCCGAAAAATAGTTCCGGTCCATGGTCAACCTAATTGGATGCCGAGGGCATGCCATGGTGAGGTCAACTTGCTCAACTGGCCATGGGTCAAAATCCAAATCGTACCCCCAGTGAACATCCCAATCCCCACTAAAATAGGCTAAAACGAGTGGTGCACCTACCCCAAAATGGTACCATTGGTTTTGACCCACAGCCAACTCTAGTTCAGGTCAGGGCTTAGGACCTTCCATTTTGGCTCATGAGTGAGACTGTCAAGGCTCTATGCAGTGAGTCATTTAGCTTAGTGTGTTTTGCTGATGAATAAGCCAACTACTTGGAGCTCGACCCAAGGAATGTGCCAATTCATGTTTCTTCCCGTTGGCCCCAACACACATACTGTCCCCGATGTACCCTTTGCTGACAATGCGCCTTTGGTGGTTTTGCCCGCAGCTGCAAACAAAAACGATCCGTGGACAAAGAGAGCTATTTCCAGAGATTCCTTTCGAGCGCGCGGGCAGGAATTATGCCCTGCCTCAACGGTCTCAATCAACAAGCTTCATGATCATTCATGTTGTCCCTGGAAAACTAGCCATCTGCGTCCTTGGGTCATTGCCCACATCAATCTGCACGTATGTGTCCTACCACTGCTGGGAGAGGGCCCCCCAAACTGTTGCCTCCTGCGCTCCCATGGGAAACCTAGCCTGGCTTGATGTACCTTGTAACTGTTGTTTACCATTTCGCTACACAAACATTGAATCTGGCAGCAATACACACGCTGAGTTCACAGAAGGATAAACAGAAGCAAGTTGTGCACCTCGAATTGGCTGGCGCGTCCCAGCCTCTGCTTTCAGTGGGCAATCTTCATCCTGGCGCGTGTTCGTTGTCAGGCAAGGGGCAACTGGTTTGCCAGGATGGGGTCAGCTAAATGCCTAGCAATATTCTTGTCCGTTTCACCCGTCAATGTTCTTTACTTGCCATCCATGGCAGCTCAGAGTTTACGGCCTGTTTTGCTCTCGTGTCCTAACAGCCTAACACGGCCATCAGCATAAGCCAAGACCAAGATGTCCTCCATTTGCTTAAGCCCCCTGGAGAAAAAAAAAAAAAAACATATAGTATTTCCAGTAGTGATAGCTTCCCTTTAAAACCAGCTACTCCGCGGCTGACTGTCAGCGCTTCTTCTCCAGCTCTCAAAGCTGCGTCAGTCCCCCTTTCCGCACATCTCCCTCTGGGGGAATCAATCGTTGCATTGGCCAAAAATCGCGGGTCAAGTTTGTTACATTTGAATGCGTGGAAGTCTGACCACGCAATTCTCGGGTCAGATGGGTTCCAGGACGTTGACAGGACGATTCTCAGAGGAAGTCTTGGGTTCCAAGTGCCTAGGATGCCCTTCAGTCACTCCAGTCAGAGAATTGGAGGCGATTTGAAAGTTCCATGGCCCCAGTAACTTTCTTGAGACTCGAGGCAGGTTTCATCTTTTGGCCCACTTGTGAAAAAAAGGACCCTAAAAAGTGTAAGTGTGTGTGTGGGGGTGTTTTCCAAACATTTTAATAGGCTACCTGTTCTTCCCACAAACAACGACTTCGCAGCTACACTCGGGACTTGGCCCAAACGCATAGGGAACATCCGCAGGGGCCCGTCTCCGGGTGGAGGGTCCCGGTGGTCTCCAAGTTCGTGCAACTGAAGTCCCGCTTGCAATCTTCAAAGAATCCACGCTTCACCCATCACCCTTACTTGACTGCTATTGGGCAACGGATCTTTAGACTTTAACTTTTTGGACAATGAAGGGGTTGTCCACTAAACCCCACCAAAAAAACATTTTTGCAGGGGGGTCAACGGCAACCAAGCTTAGGACACCATCTGACGGTGGCAACTTCGGAAAGCTTCGAGGCCGTCGGACGCCTCGAAGAAGCTTACTGAAGCCTGAGGCCGGAGCTCAAGTCAGCACAGCAAAACAAAAAGCGTGGGCCCTGGGGTGCCACCCGATTCCCATGAAAATAATCATCTCTACTCTTGGTATGGTAGCATAATTGGGACCATACCTTCAGGCTCGAAGCTTTCATCGCTGCTGTTTGTTTGTGCATTTTTATTTATTCATTTGTTTTTTCATTTCACGGCATGTGGCACACTTCATATGGTTCCTGCGGATTCCTTGTGCGTTTGCCAGAGCAATAGCTGCTGCTTCTCCGAGCTCTGCAACGACTCGGTCGTTATTTGGCTGTGGGTCACAAATGCGTACCCAACATTGAACCCGGGTAAATGGAAACATTGACTGCTTCGGGGAGGCTTGAGTAGACATGCATTAGCTTTTCGAGGGAGAAGCGTTCGTTGCTTCATAATGATTGCTTCCGGGAGGTTTGAGTAGACCTTTCCCAAGCGATCTTACTTCATAAGCTGGGAGAGGATAGGCCTACCCCATCACCATTAAACCAAGGGGGTTACATGAAATTACCACCATGTCTTGCCTATAGATGTTCATCTAAATTGGGTCAACCATTACTTCACTGTTCTTGGCATGTTTTTTAGTTTTTTGGTTCTGTTCATTTTTACTGGGGGTCTCCAGCGCTTCCAGGTGCTCGTTTAACTGGCTTTCGAAAATGCCCGTTTAACCAGCACTTGGTCAAGAGGCTGGATTTCAACACCGTGAAAAATACGTGAGAAACCCGTGCAAGACCGTGAAAACCCTCGTGAAAACAGCGTGAAAAAGTGTCTTCGTTTACTCATGCTAGGGCTCCCAGTAAAGACAGCACTTTTATCAAACGTGCTCGTTTAACTTGTCCTTTGGACTTGCTGGGTAAACCAAATATGTTCATGATGTTCAAAGGTTGGGAGGCCAGCCCTTCATGCATGCAGTAAGATTCAGACAATTCGTGTGCAGCCAGGCAACTCCCAGACTTAGCTGGATATCGCTGTCCGAGACTTGCACCAAATCGGACCAGGCGTCCTGCAGTTCGCGCCCATCAATTCATGCCCTTGGTGCAACCAACGAGCCTTCAGTGAGGTACTGTTGTCCTTACTTGTTGGCGTGGATATTTGTGTTGCATGTTCTGCTGCTTCTTGTCTTGTGGTTGCCTGGGTGCGGAGTCAAATCTGCACTCGCGCTGGTCGAGGGTGCAGTTGCTGCGTTGCCCAACAGCATGGCGTCAGGGCTTTCCAACCAAAACTCCTCCCATGTGTATCGACTCCGCAGGCCCTCAGACCTCCTTGGTCTGGGGCAACACTCCAAAACCAACCCCAAGCCCGCCCAAAGTCAACACTAAACCCGCCCAACAGCAGCCTGGCTATCAGTCCCGTGCCAAGCCCAAATGAACCCAACACCCAGCCCCAAGCCGCCCTCACCAAGATCTGAACCAGTGTGAAAGCCCCAACACCCGAACCCATTCAGATCAACACACACAGACCAGCCCAGCGCACCACTGGCCAACAAAGCCCCCAGCAGGAACTGAGGATACCACCAACCTGCCAACCTGGTCCAGGTGATGCAGGAGATATTGCCAGCCCAACAACAAAACAACCAGCGCTGGCAAAAAACAACCCTAGATTCACGAAAATCACAGCAGCAGCAGCAGCGACAACAACCACAACAGGCACAACAAACATAATTAGCACAACAACCACCACAGCAAACAACAAAAAACAAACAACAAACAACACACAACACACAACAAACCACACAGAACACACAACAAACAACAAACAACAAACAACAAACAACGAACAACAAACAACGAACAACACACAACACACAACACGCAACACACAACAAACAACAAACAACAAGCAACAATAATAACCCTCACTCATTGGCAAAACATGTGTCTTGTGCTGGGCGCGGAGTTTCTTTCGGGCGCGGTAGTCCTCGCGAGCAAAGGTCCATGTCTAAACGGAGCGCGGCTAGTTTGCGACAAGCCAACATGTCCTGCATCCGTGCAGCGGCTTTGTTGCGGAGCTGTTGCAGCTTCTCCGCGGCGTCCTGTCAGTGCGGTGAAGAAACTCAGTCTACCTGGACAAGACCCGCCTTGCTGCCGTTTAGCGCCTCCTGCTTACATAGTCTTACGCTCGGCCTTGTTCTTCTTATTTTCCTGCAGCTTCTTGGTTCTTCTTGCCTGCCAACAAAATTTCGAGGAAGGGGTCGAGTTGCATGGGCTCGCCTTCAAGGCCTTCAGCCTTGGCCTCTTCTGCTGCATCTTTTTTTGCAGCTGCCTTTGCGGCGCGCCTTGCGGCCGCCAGGCGCTTCTGCTTGTCCTTTGCTGTTTCTTCATCCTGGGCTGACGCTCGTTGAGACGGACTAGGCAAGTTTTTTTGCGCCTGCGGGGGGTGAAGAGCTTCTTGAGCGGCCATGTGCCATGCGCCCACAGCCCACCAAGGCAGTAAGCGTTGACGCGGTAAGGTTTTGCGACCTTGACCCCCCCCCCCACCCCTCACACTTTTTTTGGACAACGTCCTGATCAAAAGGTCAGTCCTTTGCGGGCCGACTTGGCCCAGCATCTGGATCCCTGGCACACCAGTCAACTACGCGTAAACAGTTCTCAAGCCAAGACCCAACTGTCGTCTTCCTGCTCCTGCTGACTGAGAAATTTGGCCCGGGCCCGCGCTGCCGCAAACTCCTCGTCATCCTGCGCAGGTTCATTTACACAGTAACTTTGGGTTTGGGCCTTCAACCTCAAACGGAACTTGCTTGCCTCAGAGTTGTTCGCTCGGCGAGCGAAAGGATGTTCCTGACAGTTGAGCACGGTCACAGAACCTGTGCAACACTTGTCCGCCTGCGGCGAAAGCGCTGCCTGGTTTCGTGTTGCTCAGTGTTAGATTTTGGGATTATTACTGAGGGATGTCCTTCTGCCACGTACTTTCTGCCCCAATATGAGAAATATGGCTCAATGTGACTCAATGTGACACAATGCAATCAATGTCATTGCCCAACGAACCATACTGTTTCATACCAACCAGTGCCAAACAAATCCAACAAAGCACAAACGAATGTGATCGGCAGAGCCAAACAGAACCTGACAGTACCAGCCAGCCCGCAGCTTTTGCACTCGCAATGCGTGGGTGGATCGCTCGACCTCAGCGTGGAACAGGAGGGCAGGGTGTGCTGGTGCAACGGTCAGCAGTTGGCTCTGGATGGATAATGACCCTTTTGCTGTCGCACCATGTCACTTGTGTCAGGCCCTTAGGCCATGGTCATAGGCACTAAAGGCCCTAAAGTCTTGACTTCAATCCCGCGACTCCGTGATTCAAAACCAAAGCATGGCTGTACAAGCACACTAGTTCTTAGCGCCGAGCTGAAGTTCAAACAATTCTGAGCGTTGTTCTGTGTGGGCTTTTTGGAGTGGAGTTGGTCGGTGCGTGTTGGATTGAAAACCGGAAACCAAGTTGGCTTCGCGACTTCCACAACAACTTCCACGGCGGCCTCGGGCGTATCTTCCTGGAAGTGATTCTGGGGGCACGGGAGACTGAGGCAGTATCATATCTGATTGAGCCGTTTTAGACAGTTTTAGATTCGTCAGCTTTATGAGGTTTAGGTTTGGTTAGGCATTTTTTGCCACGGTGCCAATGCAGTCGGCAGTTGCACACCAGTTTGACTGAGGGAAGGGGCTTACAACGTCCAATTGCCAGTGGCAGAAAAACATGTCCGACTACATCAAGCTGGCATGGAGCTCGAAGTACAAGACCTTCCAGTGGTTCGACCTCAGCAAGCGTTCGTACCGCTACTTGGTGGGCGACCTGAAATGTTTGAGGGAGTTTGAAGAGATCTTCGGCCAGCGATCGGACTTTCCACACGAGGCTGCCAACACGTTGAATGTCTTGCAGAACTTTCACGCTTTGGGGAAGATTGTTGCGGCTTTCCTGACGCAGACCTATCCGGAGCAGCTTTGCGCTGCGCTGTTCGTTGAAGGATGTTGCCTACTGGTCACTTGCTTCCAAGACAGCAAGTTGTGACAACAAGTTTGCACACTCCGAATCATCTCGAATCTTGTATTAAGATATGATGATGTGCAAACATAACCAACCCGTGCCTAAAACATGTGCTAAGGCCCCTGTTCAACACAACCACACAAACGTGCACGCGCAGAGCCACAAAAGCGCAGCCACGGGCCACAAGCATACACACATCACAGACACACACACACACAACGCACACACACGCGGACATACACACAAACACACACAACCGAAAAATATCAGCCACAAGCCAGCCACAACAGAGCACACTCAGATTGTGACTAGCGTCCGAGTCAGATCTGGCCATTGGTTGCTGGCTCTGCAAGCGTCACAGGAGCTGGGAGAAGGAATGGAACTGTCACTATGTTACTATTTGTCTATTTGTCTATCATTTGGACTGTTCCATCGTGGAACTCCAGAAATCTGGTAATACAGAATCTGGACTGGGTTGCGTATTTGGAGTTCATGTCCTTTGTCCTTTTATACTGTTTTCATGTTCTTAAGCCGCTGCCTACTCAGATTCACCACAGGATTTGAGCCGATTCGTCCACCAAGAACATGACCATGTCACTACTACTGTCATTATTACAATGGCGCCGTTTTTGGTTTAAAGCAAAGGGCACCCAATTTTTGGGATTTGTGATGCCCTGCGAAAGTCTGTGTGAATGACACATGTGGATAATTCAGCACCTGTCAAGAAAATACTCATACTCTGACAACAGATTGATCACTGGTTGATGGTCCCAAATCGGAGTTCTCGTGAACGTGAACGCAAGTTGTGAGAAGTTCACCATGAATCATGGTTAGTTGGTGTTGGTGGTCCCAAATCGGATCCCTCTAGTTTAAGTATCCTCTCACCAAAAAACTCTTCTCACCAAACATCAGCCCATCACGGCTGGTGGCCCCAAATCGGATCCTCATGAAAGCAAGTGAAACATCAGCCCATCATTATAAGCAGGACCATGTTGACCATGTTCACCGAACCGGCGCAACTGTAGGACTGTAGGGCATTGTCATGTTGTCCATGCGACCAGGCGAGAACCCACAACAATCACCCCGGCTTTGTAAGGCTTTCTGTAGCGATGAAGTAAATCAACCCGCAAGCAACTAGTTGGCGCCCTGAATTCTATGGGGGTGAAATCGGGGTGCAACGGTGCAAATATCATTCACTGATGCCATGAGGGATTGATATGTTTCACTTGCTGATCCAACATTGCTTGGAAAGGAAACCTGGCTTGGCGCAAACGAAAAGGCACAATGCTACCGATAAAAGGCGAGGTGCTTGTTTCAATGCCACGCGAACCTGGGATTGTGCTGCAGCCCTGGAGGCTCCAGACGCTTGCGTGGCAGTGGTCCAATGTTGTTGTCATCAACCGTGTTTTTCCTGCCACTCAACATGTGGCAGTGGTTCATCATTGGCATGATCAACCTTCTTTGCAATATCATCAACCATGTTCCTTCTTGCCACTCAACATGTGGCAGTGGTCCAATGTCAACACCACCAACCTTCTTGGCAATATCATCAACCGTGTTCATTCCTGCCACCCAACGGTGGCAGCGGTCCAATGTTGATACAATCAACCTTCTTGGCATCGAAACACTGGTCGCATTTAGCCCGTAAAGTTGTTCCCATCAAATTGCTGATTGCGCAAATGGGCGCCACCGCCCGAAAGGCAACACGTTGAAAAATATACGGGTGTCTATCAAGAAAAATGCTGGCTAAAAGTGTTAGCACATTCTCTCCATGACAAGTGAAGCAAAGGCTTCCAGATTTGAAAACAACATGTTGTCTGCGCTGGAATGCGCAACTACCAAGCAAATCAGTCTGAAAACGGGATAGAAATGGCCGGCCAAAACTTTACAGCTAACTTTTTCCTGGACCAAAAGTCATGTTTGCTGGAGGCCGGGGTAGTCGAACTGCCCTGTAGGCGTGGTCAACACTTACTTGCCAAAGAAGCCCCGTGCCTCCCCCCCATTAACACTGTCTCCCCTTACCCCTCA